TTCTTTGCAGTGTGTTTTGTGCAAAAGAGAGAGAACAAAGTGACGACAAGTACTCTTGTTTGGATTTATTTTTTTACTTAAAACACTGTGTAAACCCAGCTCATGGTGCTTTTATTCAATGAAACATGGAAAAACAAATCAGGGCTCAGAAGCTTGCATAAACCTAGTCACTGCCCACGCTTATACTGTGTTAAGCAATGTTGTATTTGACTTTGTGTGTCATTTCAACCCAGGCTATGGGTCAAAATGCAGCTAAGGCAAAACAGGATAACAATAATTTGTAATAATGGTTTAATACTGGCTAGCTTGCTATTAGTATGGTTTTAGTATGTTGTCCGAAATTAGATATTTTGTTGCTGGACAAAGCAACTAGCATTATTTTGCAGAAGAAAGGGTTCCTAGAGCATTGACAAAGCAGAGCTGCTTCAGAAGAAACATCTCTGTTGCTACAGTCCTTTTCATCATTCACAGTATGGAAGGAATTAATTGTGGACATAAAGGATTTAACTATTCCTTCTCCCCCCCACCATCCTCCACTATGCTTTTTCTATTTTTTACATTAAAAAAAAAAAGAACAATAAACAAGCAATGAGAAAGTTGGCTGAAAAATTTAGACTTTACAGCAAAGATGATGCAAGCAACTGCAAGAGTGATTAACTTGACTGGCCCCCCATCATTGCTAATATTTCTATGAAACTTCCATATGTTTCAAAACATGTAAGTTACCTAATATGGGTAGAATGAAGAATTCTCTGTAGCGGCTCGTGAGCATAGCTACTATAAAGGTATGATTTAGGGTTGGTGATAAGAATTACAGGCCATTCTTCAAATTTCAGGTCAGCAAAACTGAAGAGATCATGATCAAAAGCAAGAATCCGATACCTGATATTCAACAATTAAAATAATATTTTAATTAACAAGGAACATCTTAGAGAATAGAAGATATTTATTTATTTATTTATTTATTTTATTAATTGTATATGCCACCCATCTTCCTAATAAGGTGATTCTGGGCCACTTACAGATCACAAAAAGATAAATAGAAAAGCAGTTAAAATCTTCAAATTATGCAAAAAACAAAACAAAACCCAGGAACCAAGAGACAGATGGTACAGGGATAAGTTTATCTTACCCTGTCAGCCATCTCCAGTGGTGAGCAGTCCCTTCGTGGCCCCAAACTAGCTAGCAAAGTCATGTTTTAACACCCTTCTGGAAGGCCAAAAGGGTGGGAAAGTTTTTCCTTCTGGTGGTCCAGAATGGACCACAGCGAAAAAGGCTCTTGTCTTTGACCTTCCCACTGGACTTCCTTAGCAGACGCGATCCGTAGCAGACCTCTTTTGCTGGCACAAATGTGTGAGTTAGTCCCTTTGGAGTGAGATGGTTCCTCAGATACTCTTGACTCATGCAATATAGGGCTTTAAAAGTAATTGAAACATACCTTGAACTGGGCCCAGAAGCAAACTGGTAACCAATGCAGCTTGTGCAATAGCAGTGTAATATGTGCCACTCTGGGGCCTACAGAATTGTGCATGCTGCTGCATTCTGCACTTGCTATAGCTTCCGAATACTTTTCAAGGGTAGCCCCATGTAGACCGTGTTGCAGTAATCCAACTAAGAGATGATTAGGGCATGAATGACTATGTGTAGTCAATTATGATCCAAGTAAGAGCTCAACTGGCGCACAACACAAAGTTGCACAAAGGCCCCTCTAGTCATGATTGCCACCTGCTCTTCAAGCAGGAGTCATGAGTCCAGGAGAACCTCCAGTTTGCATATTGTGCAACCATGCCATCCAGAACTAAAAATGATAAACAACTGGATCCTGAGTTCCCTTGCACCCACAACCACTCTCTTTTGCCAAGGTTCATTTGAAGCTTGTTGTCCCCCATCCAGACCCCTACAGCTTCCAGGCACTAAGAAATGATAGAAAATAGAAAAATAAAATAAAATTTGCCTTTGCGTTGGACATTTACTTACTTCCTATTATGCTTCCAGTCTCCCAACTCCAGTTCTAAAGTTCCATCAGGATGACGAGTATGAAGGACAGGCATCAGGCCACCCAATGTATGGAAATGCCCACACAAATAAACTAAGGCAAAACTAATCAAAGCAAAATATAGCATTAATTTATAGCATACAATATCATTACTCTGAACTTTTGCCATTATAAAGTCTAAGAAAAGAAACCATGAGCTTAGAAAAACTATCATTTTAAAAAACAAACTATGTCTAACTATTAAAAATACTGGGATTACTGAATTAAAATAGGGGAATTCAAAGCTAGAGATGAATCCAAAATTCATACTATGCTATCTAAACAGCTGAAAATAAAAAAAATAGTGCCAAGAAATGCTGCAAAACTGAGAACAGACAAATACCCTCAGTATAGAACTGAACTACATCAAGCTTGTCTGACTTCATCTGGCAGTCAGCACTGGGCATTTTTTGCACATTATTGCTCAGGACTTGGTGATATTATAAATTATGAAGGAGATGATGTCAAAGGAGAGTACAGGGATGACAAATTGGTCTGTACTGCCTTGTAACCCCGTGAATAAGTCTCTGTAAAATGATCAGGAGAAGAGACTGTGGTTTTGATTTCTCCATTACAGGAGCATACATGTCCTGGGAAAAGGGATCTTCTTAATACCTTTTGTTTACCTAGGAAAGGGCATTGCAACATGAAGAACTATTATTTTTAGAAATATTAACTTCTGGCCAATTAACACTGTAATTTTAAAAATAATTATTTCTTGTTATTCATTAATACAAAATGAACAATTTATTTTAAAAAGCAGAAGATAAACAATTCATATATTTCAAAAAAAAATTTTTTAAAATAGTATACCGCATGGCTGCTCGTATTCCTGGAGATACAGAGATGATTGATGAGGTAGGGAAATGACCAAACAAAATGGTATGGTTACTATCATGACTTTCTGAGATCAGTGCAGACAACTCTGCCATTTTATTCTGAAATGAAAAGGTGCAAAAGTTTTAATAATACATTGACTGCCAACAGTCAACACATACATGCAATTTTTAAACACAATATTAGTACTGGAAGCCATGAACATCTTTAAAGTCCTAGTTACAAATAAAGTTTAATATTTGTAAGCCACCCAGGATCACCTCTAGATGAAGTGGGCAGCACACAAATCTAATCTTATTATATAAATAGAAATGTAAATGTTTGTTTGTTCAAAATCTTAAATCTCCGAAAGTTCTTCACCGATTGCTTTGAAATTTTGACACAACGTTGCATTCGAATACGAGCGTGTTTTTATATACCTACTATTATATAGATGTCACACCTGTGACAGGTAAAAACATGCTTTTTTTGAAAAACAGCGCCATCTGTTGGACGTAAATTTAACCAGACTGAGCCACAGCAACACGTGGCCGGGCACAGCTACTAAAATAAATAAAGAAGAAACATCTCCAAATGGCTCCCATTTAACAGTTAAAAAATAACAATTTTATTTTTATATCCACATGACCCCAGGACAGTACAACCATAATAAATATGTTTGTTGTTTTTGTTAATTGCAAAGTCATGTCCGACCCATCGTGACCCCAGGTCTTCCTGTCCTCTACCATCTTCTGGAGTCCATTTAAGCTCACGCCTACTGCTTCAGTGACTCCATCCAGCCATCTCATTCTCTGTCGTCCCCTTCTTCTATTGCCCTCAATCTTTTCCAGCATCAGGCTCTTCTCCAGTGAGTCCTTCCTTTTCATTAGGTGGCCAAAATATTTGAGTTTCAACTTCAGGATCTGGCCTTCTAAAGAGCAGTCAGGGTTGATCTCTTCTAGGACTGACCGGTTTGAACGCCTTGCAATCCAAGGGACTCGCAGGAGTCTTCTCCAGCAATATAGTTCAAAAGCCTCAATTCTTTGGCGCTCAGCCTTTCTTATGGTCCAACTTTCACAGCCATACATTGCAACTGGGAAAACTATGGCCTTGACTATACGCACTTTTGTTGGCAGGGTGATGTCTCTGCTTTTTAGTATGCTGTCTAGATTTGCCATAGCTTTGCTCCCCAGGAGCAAGCGTCTTTTAATTTCTTGGCTGCAGTCCCCATCTGGGGTGATCTTGGAGCCCAGGAAGATAAAATCTGTCACTACCTCCATTTCTTCCCCATCTATTTGCCAGGAATTGAGAGGGCAGGATGCCATGATCTTGGTTTTCTTAATGTTGAGTTTCAAGCCAACTTTTGCACTCTCCTTCTTTACCCGCATCAAGAGGCTCTTTAGTTCCTCTTCACTTTCTGCCATTAGAGTGGTATCATCTTCATATCTTAGGTTGTTGATATTTCTCCCGGCAATCTTAATTCCAACTTTTGATTCATCTAGCCCTGCCTTTCTCATGTTGCCAAGCATCTGTATTTTGATCATGTGACCAGGGGGATACTGCAACAGTGTTGCGAAAAATGGTCATAAGTCACTTTTTTCAGTGCCATTGCAACTTTGAACAGTCACTAAATGAACTGTGGTAAATTGAGAACTACCTGTAAAGGCAAGGTATTCATACAACCGTGCTGTTTCACAGAAGCTATATGTGTATGTTGGAATATAGACATAGCTCTGGACTGGGTCTGATCTTTCTAATGCTGCCAAAGAATCTTCTATATCACAACATGATCATGAGACAACAGTAGAATATTTAAGAAAAACAATCTCAACAGATTGTCTTAATACTCTTTTTATGATTATCACTGACAGATTCCCTTAAGGAAATACTTAGAATCTTGAGTTTGACTAATAATTTAGGATAATTAGATGATGGCCTTCCTATAGAACAATGATGGCGAAACTTTAAGAGACTGAGTGCCCAAACTGCAACCCAAAACCCACTTATGCATCGTCGAGTGCCGGCTGGGTGTGGCCCATTGGCTGGGTGTGGCTGTGGTGGTAACGGCAGACTGGGTGGGACTAAAAAGTTCAATCAATCAATTCCAACTTTGCAAGACCTTTTTTTTCCCGCGAGAAGTTGAAATTGACTGATTGAACCTTTTTTTTTTTTGCACATGGCGGCGGAGCCTAAAGCGAAAAGGTTTTATAAAACCCAGCTGAAGACCTAGAACTGGGGTGATGGCGCACGTGCCCACAGAGAGGACTCTGAGTGCCGCCTCTGGCACCCGTGCCATAGGTTCGCCACCACTGCTATAGAACCTATCTATCCCTGAAGATTGCTCTGTGACCCAAAGTAGGGATAGAGGGGCATTTTTTTCCCCTTTGCAGCTAATGAATGCAATGGAGGTCTATGTGCAAAGAAACCATAATAAGGAATGGGTGTTTTGCTAGAGACATATATTATTTCAAAACTACCTAAATCTCCATTGATCCTTTGTCCCATAGGAAACTAAATCTCATGAAAAGATTTGGTCACTGCAAATGAAACTCACGCCACAGGAAACTAAATTCACTATCTCTTTGAAAATGCTCACTCTTCAGAGATGTGAGGCATACCAACCTCATTGATAAAATATTGCATATCTCAAAGACTGAAAGTAGGAATACTGACAAAAATATGTGAATACAGGTAGTCCTTGACTTACGACCACAATTGAGCCCAAAATTTCGGTTGCTAAGCGAGACAGTTGTCAAGTGAGTTTTGTCCCATTTTATGACCTTTCTTGCCAATTATTAAGTGAATCACTGCAGTTGTTCAGTTAGTATCATGGTTGTTTGTTAAATGAATCTGGCTTTCCCATTCATTTTGCTTGTCAGAAGGTCGCGATAGATGATCACATGACCCTGGGACACTGCAATGTCATAAATATGAACCAGTTGCCAAGCATCTGAATTTTGATCACGTGACCATGGGAGTGCTATAACGATCGGGTGAAAAACTGTCATAAGTCCATTTTTTCACTGTTATTACTTCGAACATCACATTACGAATTACTGTAAGCAGAGGACTACCTGTACTTGGAACACTTCATTCAGACATTATGGTTAACATATGTAAGACACACAACTGGCCTCAATTTTTTCTGATCTTTTGATTTGATAAAACATTGTTTTTTCTAACATTACCGCATTTAATATCCCAAAGAAATTGTAGGGTCTCTTGGGACCTGGATCAAGACTTGCATCCACGCAGGTGAAAGAATATTTTCCAAAAGGTGTTCTATGAACGTAATGAAAGGAGCCATCTTTCTGCCACACAGAATATTTCCTGCCAAAGAAAAGGACTTTAAGAAAAATCTAATCAGGAGAAATATGTTACATGAGAAGCTTGTAAGGATAACAGATATGTTAACAGAGATGCATTTGGGCTCAGTTCACCTCCATTCTTAGTTAGCCAAATAATAGTAATAGTAATAGTAGTAGTAATAGTAGTAGTAATAGTAGTAGTAGTAGTAGTAATAATAATAATAATAATAATAATAATAATAATAATAATAATAATAATAATAATAATAATAATAATAATAATAATAATGTGACTTAAATTTCAAAACTTGAATTTCCTCGCTCCTTCCTTCAGAAGGTTAAGGAAAAAAATGCAGCTACCAAATAGTACAGAAAGGAGAAAAGAGTCTTGGTTACCTGTAATTGGAGAGCCAGATTAGTATATGGTTAAGGCATCAGGCTAGAAACTAGAACACTACGTGTATCTTGTTTAAATAGAAATGTCTGTTCACTCTATATTTTTCTGGACTGCTGAAACCATCATTACATGCTAACATACCTGTAGTAATTACGAACACTCTCCAGGCTAGGAATGTTGAATGTATCTGCAATGAAAATGGTAAACATTTCGATCCAATTTCATGATAAAGCTAGGAATAAAAAAGTAGTCTAAGTTTAAAAAAACATCATTGCGGTTATGAACTTAAAAGAGAAGCAGAATGGCTAGGGAGGAAAACAAGATTTTTTGCATAAACCAAACGCTAAGAGGCTTTTTGGCGAAGCTAAAATTATATTATTTAAGGAAATTTACAACAGAATGGACAAAATAAAAACAAGAAAAGCTAAATATATAAACAATATTCTCTTACTTTAAATATATATTTATACTTTTCATAATGATTCCAGACACTTTTAAAATGTTATGGTATATAAATGATTTAAATAATTTATGTAATATCAAAAAATTAAACAAGGTTAAATGAGGGGGTATGACAGTCTAGCATTTCCTAATGATCAACATAAAATTAGAATTACGTGCCTAAAGTCTTCTCTCTGTCTTACCATGATTTCCTTTTATATCTATCCATTTTGTCTTTTCCATGACCTTAGATCTTTTTAGGATTGTCTGGTAAGTTTGCCACTCCACCTCAAACTGATTAGACCCAAATCCATCCTTTGTTTTGGCATCAGTCAAGTCACCTGTTTAATGAATAGAGAATAGCTCCAGAACCCAATGAACAATAGAAGAATGCAGAATAAACCAAATGCCAGTGACAACAAGCTATTTAGAAATCAGGTTTGACACCTATTGCAGCATATTACCACCTTATTATGACTGTAAGTTTCCTTTGAATTTACAGAAAATGTCAGTATTTGCGCTCTACACATTGTTACATAGGGTTTATATTCTACAGCAGACCTGAGCATTTTACCGCCCGCAAGCTACATCTAGCCCATAGAGGTGGCTGGGGAAGTGAGGGCAGCGGTGGCACTCCTACATAACAGTCCCAGTTTCTTCTGTCACCTCTTGGGAAAATTGTTTACTCCTGCTCTACAGCATATCAGAATTTGCAAAATTTTGCTTTAATCAGACCACCTGGCTCTTCCTCTCAGTAAACATAATAAGTCATAGATAGGCTTCTATTAGGAAATTGTCTGAACCAGAGAATCTGGCTCAGAACAAGATTTCTGAAGAACAAGGCAGAGAAGACAGTTTAGCTTGTTAATCAGCTCCTATCCCAAACTGACTTGAATAAAGTCCTTTAATTTTAAATTCTATTAGCCATATAGGAGTGAGGCACAATGCCATACTGCACTGTAGAGAAGCATGCAGTGGGGTGATCTGACCCTTCATCCAAACCTAGATAGCCTACTAGCTATAGACTTTCCACACTATAAAAAAGACTACCTATCATCTAATAAACTGCAAGATCATCAACAAGTGCTAGTGACCTTCAACTAGCCAACCTTTTTTCTTAACCAGCTGCATGTAGTATTTATATATATCCATATTAGCATACTAACAGTCCACTAATCTTAACTAGATTAACTCTGTTTGTAAAGTCAGAAAAAATAATATCTATGAGGTGTTTCTTGAAAGATCTCAGATTAATATTAATTCTAACTAGTTATTCAACATGTCTTATGTATATAGTACATGCATTTAAGTGTATAATAAATAATAAACAGAATGTCAAACAATCAGTAGATAAACACCATTAGAAAAACAAATAAGTCCAAGGTCAATCTCTTAAATATGCAAGCCAGTCTTTCCACTCCAGACAAGATATTTTGTTGGACATATTATGATTGAAAAAGTTCATTTTGTGCCACTCAGGCTCTTTCACAGGATCTTAACAGAGCTCTCAAACAAATATTTAGGCACAAAAATCATATGATGGGCTGACATGTTAATATAGTTTTGGGGGAATACTACTTCAATTACCCAATTTGACTTACAGCCATGGACTTACCTTGTGGTTTGCCATCCAAAACTAACAGCCCAGTTTAACTTTTGAAATTAGTCAATGTTAGCGGATTGTTATCAGAGGACTAAGTCTAGATAAATAAACTGCATATTTACTTTTGTCTGCAAGAGAAAGCAAATACGCAGTTGCCAAAGTGGCAGAAAGTGGAGGAGGAACTGTTTCTGGTATTTCAAGTTTTTGGGGATTCCCTCTAATGCTTAGAACCTATGTAATAACCTTTCAGTGGCCCAGCTTGTTTTTTTAAGGCAGTCCTACCAAATAAGTAACCAGCAGCTCAGCATATTCCCCAAAGAATTTAGGGTGTAATATATAAAAATGATGAAACAAAAAAAAAATCTCACCTGTCACTAAAGTAAGAGCAGGTTGAATTATGGGAATTGTTTCCTTACAGAACTTCTCAAAATNGCCCAGCCACCAATCGCAGCATTTTCGTCGGGCTCTTCCGCATCCACTCCCAAGCGTGAATCAACGGTCCCGGTCTGCAACCGGCAACCGGCCACAGCCACCCACTTCCGCCCCCGGCTGCCGGCTCTGCGGGGTCCTACGCCACTCAGCTTGTATTAGCCCGCCCCTCTCGGGTTTCTATTGGAGGACGGAGAATCTCTCTGCGACGTTTCCCTGCCCCTCCCCCTCCCCGTCCCGCAGCGGGATGGCAAGGATGGATGATCTGCTAGCACAGCTGGCTGGATTAAGATCGCCTGGGAATCCCAGGCTGATCCCAGCAAGAAATAGTTAATGGATTTAGGTGGTTCTCTTGCGAAAATTTGTTCCTCACCTTTGGCGTGAGATTTTGACCAGAAAATGGCAACTGCCTGAATTGATTGGAAAACATTGAAGAGAACGCGCACGCAGATAGACTGACTGACTCCTGGATAGTTTCTTCTAACTGGGAAATATTAAACTTTGTGTTGCGTTATTCATTCATTTGGGGGAAAAGAACAAAATATTGCTTGGTTTTAAACCCTATCTGCCGTAAGGCACTTTTACATGGTAGGGAACATGATTATTATGTGAACTTAAGTATTGTGGTTTGTAAACTTCTGGTAGTTTTAGCAGGTCAGGTGAACCTTATCAGTTACACAAAGGAAATGTGGGGGAAAAAAATCTTCATCAGGTCCAGTCCAAGCCAGGAATAAACAAAATGGAGACTGCTTTAGAAAGAAGATAACCTTTATTGTCATTTTTTTTAACTGTGCGCACAACGGCACACATCAAAAATGAAATTTAGTTGCCTGCTCTCAAAGTGAAACACATACATGACACACACCTAAACATACTATATACAACATATGTATAGACCCACACCCCTACATATACATGACAAATATTAAATACTGTCCATCTTGAATATATAACAGAAGGAGGAAGCTTGAGAGTTCACAAGGTTAATGCTGTATGGAATGAAACTATGGCTGAATCTGGATGTTCTGCTACGGATACCACAAAGCCTCCTTCCAGAAGGTAACAAGGAAAACAGGTCGTGAAGAGGATGTGTAGTGTCCCAGATAATCTTATGGACCCTCCTCAAGCAATGCTTCTGTGCTATATCCTGGAGGGGAGGGAGGAACTGCCAATAATCTTTTCAGCCATCCTCACCACTCACTGCACCGCCTTCCTGTCTGAAGCAGTGATGGAGAACGGAAGAAATAGCATCCTCCATAGAGCCAGACAGAAATATGGCTATGGGAAAGCTGACCACATGTTGCTGGGAGTGATGGACTTTTATACCTTCTTGGGCTTTGGAGGTTGTTTCCTGTTTGAGGCTTTGTATTTCCTGTGTCATGTACTTTCACCTGAATCTGAGTGTGCCCTGTACCTGTACTCCTGACAACTTATCCATCAGGCTCAATATAGATATTAAAAAGCTTGGGGGAAAGCACCAAGCCTGAGATATTGAGCACTGGAAGGTTTAAAGTACTGTTTCCCCATAACTACATTAAAAATCCAGATAGGAAAGAGACCAGCTGTAATACAGGTAGTCCTTGACTTATGACCACAACTAGCCCAAAATTTCTATTGCTGAGTGCAACAGTTGTTAAGTGAGTTTTGCCTCATTTTACCTTTTCTTGCCACAGTTGTTAAGTGAATCACTGCAGTAGTTACGTGTCATAGTTGTAAAGTGAATTGGGCTTTCCCCTTGACTGTGTCAGAAGGCTGCAAATGGTGATCACATGACCCCGGGACACCGCAAGTGCCATAAATATGAACCAATTCCCAAGTGTCCAAATTTTGATCATGTGATCACATGATGCTGCAATGATAAGTGTGAAAAATGATCATAAGTCCATTTTTTCAGTGCTGTTGTAACATCAGTCACTAAAAGAATGGTTGTAAGTCAAGGACTATCTGTACACTTTCTGCAGTTCCCAGTTATTGCAGAAAGTTCAGTAAGGTACCATAGCCACCAAGATGGGCACACTTCCCCCATCTATGTCCCAACAAAGTTAGTCTACTAGGGTGATCGATCATGTTATTGCCCCATGATTGGATATTAATCTGTAGGATTTATTTCTTCTAGGGCTGAGTCAGTACCATTTTCTCAGCAACCATCCTCATACAAGGAAGGTTGAAGAAAGGGGAGACGTTATCAAAATCTCCAGGATGTATGGTAGTGTTCTTAATCGTAAATGACCCTTATGTGAGTTTCAGTGACATTGTTAATCAAACTTTAGGGAAATATTTGTTAAAAATAATGTTATTTACCAATTTTATATTTCTTTTGTTTAGAGGAACTTGTGAAAATAGATTCATAAATAAAAATAAGGACTGGAATGGTAAAATAAATGACAGGGACAATATAATAGGCATGCAGTAGTTCGAAAGTATTAACTGTAAGTAAGTAAAAGCAAAGATGGAAACATCAGAGAAAAAACTTAAAATGGATCAGTCTTTTGAGTAAATCAACAATTTTTAACAACGGGTGTTAAGTAAACAGGATTTCCAGGCTCAAAAATGGTTTCACTTTCTGTAATCAAAACAAATTGCATTTCAAAAAATTTCTTTCACTTTGGAAAAATAGCTAAACTTCAGCTGCAGTGAAATAGTGAATGCTGTGTCATGGGTTTCCATTTTCAGCCCAAAGATACTAGTAGCCTAATGGTGCAGCCTGAGAATGTTGAGGGGTTTTGTGTAAATTATAGAGAACTTGAGAAGTAATTACTGTTTAGGTCAGTGTTTCTCAACCTTGACAATTTTAAGACATGTGGACTTCAACTCCCAGAATTCCACAGCCAGCATTGCTGGCTGTGGAATTCTGGGAGTTGAAGTCCACATGCCTTAAAATTGTCAAGGTTGAGAAACACTGGTTTAGGTGATGTTTTGAAAGAAACTCTAGAATAACAAGGAATGATATTTGTCTGCTTGTTGACCATTTAATAATTAACCATGTCAAAGCTGTGTAACTGTGGAAGAGGAAAAGTGAGTAGACAGATAATATGAGGAAACGCACAAGAAAAGAGACAAGAACATTAATGTCTCTTGCATCTGCAATCCATATCTGAAGGGAATAGTAAATACTACAATGTTTAAAAGCTTGAATTTTGTTTAAATGAGATTTCTCACATATTTTTTTAAACAAACATATGCAAGTTTCAGTATCTATGCTATATGTGATGAGAACCAGTTTGGTGTAGTGGTTAAGGTGCTGGCCTAGAAATTAAGAGACTGAGATTTAATCCTGCTTTAGGCATGAAAGCTGGCTGGGTAACTTTGAGACTTTGGACTTTGAGTCATTCTCTCTCAGCCCAATCCACCTCAAAGATGTGTACAAAATCCTTGAATGACCAAAGTCACAGTGACTGATGGAAGTCAATATCTATGGCCCATCTGCTGAAGATATGACAAATGGAAAATTTGGAATGTGAAAGGAGTAATAGTAAACAAGATGAACTAATGAAATTAAAAAGAAAAAAGTTGTCTGAAATTAAGAAAAAGGGGAAGCATATAATACATGTGAATGGAAGTGGTCTGATCTTGTAGAATTGAGAAATATGTGCAGGGAAGTGAAGTTTAATTATGGAAGAAAGGGCTAAAATATATGTTGGAAATATAAACTGGTATTAAGTAATTGTTATGGATGCCTATTAAAGTAGGAATCTATATTTGGTGATCGTTGTATGTAAGCCAGTGAATAATGATAATAGGTTTGCAGAAAAATAAATATGATGTAGTGGGAAAAAAAATTCTTCTAGGTGATAAAGAATGGATGGGTAGGTAAAAGATGAGAGAGAAAGAGATGGCCATTGTATCAATAGAGGCCAAAGAATAAATAAGAATGCTGACTAGTATCTGCTTAGAAGAGATGTTTGTTTTGAATATGTGGTTTAAATATCTATTTATTTATATGTATACATGGCATAGGAATGAGTATAATAGCATTAGCACTTAGACCAGGGGTGCAAACTCAATTTCATTGAGGGCCGCATCAGCATTGCGGTTGCCCTCAGGGTGTGTGTGGCCAGGGTGGGTGCGGCCTACTGGGTGGGCGTGGATGGAGTGTGTGGCCTACTGGGTGGGTGTGGCCAGCTCTACATCAGGGGTATCAAACTCAATTTCATTGAGGACCACATTAGCATTGCGGTTGCCCTCGGGGAGGCGGGGGGTATGGCCAGGGTGGGTGCGGCCTACTTGGTGGGCGTAGATGGAGTGTGTGTGGCCTACTTGGTGGGTGTGGCCAGCTCTACATCCGCGTCAAGGGTGCCTGTGGGGGCCTAGGCAGGAGTGCGACAGACCTGAGGGTCTCTGGCAGAAGGGGGTGGGACCAGGGTAAGTGCCAAGGCATGGTCCACTGGAGGAGCCTCACTGTTCCTCTCAGGCCATGTGGGGGGGCTGGATGGTGGCACGGGCTGCCTGGAGCCCTGGGCAGCAGAGGTCAAACGCCCAGCCTGGCCCTCGAGCACCAGCGGCACCAAGCCGAGCCCCACTTCCCCAAGGGGGCGCCCAGCTGCACTTACCTCCTCCTCAAGGCTGCTGCTGCTATGCTTGCTCTCCTTACCCAGGTTGCTCAGGATGGGTATAAGGGCAAAGTCAGAGGGAGGCCCATTCCCTCTCCATGGGAGGAGACCCTGCTTTGTATCCAAAGCTTCCTTAGCAATAGGATGGGAGACCCCCAGGATAGGCCAGGGGGTTCCTGAGGCAAATAGTGTCACTTTTTTCTAAAAGTTTTATTACAGAGCAGCACAGAAGGGGTTTCATGGCAATCCTGAACCTTCATAATCAATTGTCTATACAACCAGAACGTAAGACATACAAACCGGAATTAGTTCACAGCTTTGCCACTTAACAGTTTAAGTGAATGTATACTTCAAGTTCCTGAAAAAAAGGAAGCATTAGGAAGCTTGGTAGTTCNTAAAGGTTCTCAGCACAATAGATTCCATTGCCCAAATTCTGTAAACCAGGAAGGAGCTTAGTACAACAACCCAAGTTCTCAATGGAGAGAGAAAAAAAGAAAGAGTTCCGTATGCCTTCAGTAAGAAGTAACAGGAAAAGGCTTGCCAGAAAAATAGAAGTGACATGATTAAATGGATGGGCACAGTCCAATATGGTTTGATAAAATATAGATGAGAACGAAAACACTGGCCTTGGCAACGCAGCAACAGGCACCAACATGTGTATGCCATCAATGGTAGGTTGAAAAACACCACCTATCAAACAAAAACAAACATTCTCAGAGCACATTCAGAATGCAGAAATAGAAATACACAGAATTACTCCAAACACTTGGCACATGAAGCCATAAATAAAATGCACATATAGTAGATTTGTAATGGTATGGTATCATGGCTCCGTTGGAGCCTGGTTCCGAGGAGGAGGAGGAGATGGAGCCAGGGCCAATGGAGGAAGACGGCAGAGCCTCTCTGGTCCAGGAGGAATGACCAGAGGCCAAAGCAGTCCCAGGTCCCTTGGGCCTCGGAAGGGTCACTAGAGGAAGAGAGGGTGCAGGATGACCGAGCGAGGGGGGAGATGAAAAGGGCAAGCAGCAGAGCAGAGGAGCAACAGAGCTCTGGAGACGAGCAACTGCCTCCTCCGCCCGATCCCCGAGTGCAAAGAATGGAGAGCAGGCAGAGTCAGCACCGGTCGACCCAACTATTTCACAAGGCCCATCTGGAGAATAGGATTTATGGAGATGCTGTGGTGAGGGGCTTTTGTTGGGAACAAGTGTTATATTTGCCAGCAACACTTGCCATGATTCAAGAAGCCTTGCTGTTACCGATGACTTTCTGCCTTGCTCTGCCTTGCCGTGTGTGAGTTTGCAGTGACCCAGCTTGGCTCCGCTTTGGGCCACAGCCATGGCAAACTCTGTGCGACGAAGTCGCTCATGCCCAAGTTTCCTGAACTGTTTTTGCTCTCAGAACTAGGTTTTCTTCTCTCTCGGACTGCTAGCTTCAAGGAACTGCTTGAGGTATGTGCGCATGTTAGAGCCTTGCTCTTGGGCTTAAAGTGAACCGTAGGGATTTTGGGGAAGGTTGGTTCAATAAAAGGGATTCAAGCCTTCGCATTTGCTGGTGTTGCTTACATACCCCGCCCCGGGTCATAACAGTATGTAGGAACGACAGGCTGTAACTTTACAATAAAGTAGAATTAACTCATCTGGCCATGTTCCCTGTCTGGTCTTTCTTGCATGGCTGACAAGATCTCAGCCTCTTATAGCTAGGTTTCATCCAGCTATAATAACTAAGTTCGTAACTAAGCTGGTAACTAAGAAAGCTAGCAAATGTGACAACAGTTAGAAATTGTTCCTGTCCATATGAAAATTCAAAATGGCCACTTTCTTCCTGGAACACTTAAAACATTGCCCTATCTAAATTTTTTCTTTCAGTTTTGTACACTATGAACCTCAGAATCTTACAATAAGCTGAAAAGCATCAACATTTTAAAAATTACACCCTCACATATTAAGAAATAATATATGTTATCCACTTGAGTGGGAGAACAGTTGTGGAATTAACACACTCTGAAAACCATTGATCACATATTAAAAAAGAATTGATGAATTTATTGTCAAATGGGCAATTAAAGAAAAATGCTTGTGAAAGAGAAACTAATTTATATTTCTCAGCAGGAAGTTCTGTTGATCACTACAAACATATAGAGGGTGCTATGGGCCCAAGGCAGGAAACTAGTCTACATCAGTGTTTTTCAAACTTGGCTACTTTAAGATGTGAGGCTGCGCACTTGAATTCTGGGAGTTGAAGTCCTCACATCTTAAAGTTAACGAGTTTGTAAACAAAATGATCTACTAATAAAGGAGAATATTTATAACTCGGGGTTGAAATGAGGGGTCCTTGGTGCTGTCTGAGCTTGGTTGTTTTCTTGCAGACGTTTCATTATCCAAACTAGGTAACATCTTGTTATGATGTTTGTTTGAATAATAAAATGTCTGCAAGAAAACAACCAAGGCCAGAGAACATCAAGGATTTCTCAAAATGACCTACAATTAACTTTTAAACAATTGAAGCAATGAGGTTATGGCTGTCTTCAAGTCAAGTAAAAATTACAATTACAAAAGGTTTCTCCAGTGGGAAAATACAGAAAGGTGGCTTAATATATAGAAATACAGTTTCAAAATAGAACTTCTGAGCATCAAAATTAATGAGATAATGGAAAAAGCAGATCAGACCTCAAGCAAATCTACCTATTCAGGTAGATGTCCATAAAGTGCTCTCTGTGGAACTGCTCTGACAAATATTCAAAATTTCATCTTGTGTAAAGCTGCAACAATCAGGCCCGTTTCACATTATTTATTGTCTTACATGACCTTCAGTGACTGATCTGTGGATAGGTCTTGAAATGCAGGAGATTATAAAATCCTAAAAGGACTGGGGCGAAATTATTAGAAAGAGTGTCTCCTTTTTCAGGATTACAAGAAGCACAGCCTGGAGAGGTGTGGGGCCCCAAATGGTTGCCATTTCCCATTTACCCTGCCCCCATGACAAAGCTGTCTTTCCCCTCCTCTGTAGTACACTTGGCTTACACTTGCCCTGCCTTTTACTAAAACAGGACTGTCATTTGCATTCACAAGTGGGTTAGCAGGGACACAGGAAAGGGTCTGACAGATGTAGCAAGGCTTACTGCAGTGGCTTCCTTGGTAGGCTTATTGGCTCCCTCTTTTTAACTATTAGTGAATTGTCAAACTACTTGGCTTATTTCAGTCACGCTACAATTATTTGTAATATAGGTCTCAGTTCTTTTGTTTGTCACTATGGTTATTTATTTTGTAAATAAATAAATTGTTATAATAAATAAGTGCCATGGGAATCTTATTGTCAAAAGGTAGGAGAGGAAAGGAGACATACAAGTACATACCTACTCTCAACATTATGCTATGAAATTAACAATCACATGTAAATTTAAATTTGTTCTGAATAGTTTGCTAAATGTACCCCTGGAAGCTTATTATAGTTATATTAACAAGCAATGCTGTCTCTTAAGTTTTTTTTAACCTTATAACATATTTAATTATTTGAAAAAGGGTCAGATAGAACATCATTATCAAAAACTATATTAAGAGTCTTACCTGTAAAATTCCAATAAGGAAGGTTGAGCTGCCTTCAAAGAAATGGCCATTAAAAATTAATCCAAAGGAAAAGCAGATGCCCATATGACCCTCTGTAAGCTCACCAACAAACCAGGGTCCTGATAGGGGGAAATGGTATTATATCAAGCACATCCACAGCATTAAATAAATATTTTTTCCAGTTTGAAATCCTTGCTAATAATCAGTAGGGCAAAAAAACTCCATACATGTAACAAACTCCTGTAAATAATACCATTTGGTCAGTATAATTTATTCAGTTAATTAATTCACATATCAAACGATGCCTTGGTCACAATACCATAAACTATGGTTTTTAAACACCAATGGGAATGGTTTGTTCAACAGGTTAAATCAGAATCAAACTAACCACATTATGGATTATTGTAATGTGTGAATTTAGTGACTTAAGATTTTTTAAATTAAACAAAGGATTCTAATTTTTTTATATCTTATTCTTTGCCTTTCATAAGAGAAATCAAAGTACAAGTACTTTAAAACATAACTTTTACTCTCAAAATAGGCATTTTTTAAAAAAAAAATTTGGACTCAGTGGCCAAATCAATAAAAAAAGATGTATTACAAGCTGCATCATAAGCAGCAAACAGTAATATTGGAAAACATAAGAGAGTGAAGATTTGAGCAAAATTATCAGAAACATCTTGGTTTTGAGCAGGGATGCTGCTTTTTTTAATCAATGCGAGGGCTGACTAGAGGTCATCCTCAATTTATGACTACAATTGTAACCAGAAATTCTGTCACTAAGCAATATGGTTGTTAATTGAGTTCTGTGCAATTTTATGAATTTGTTGAAATGGCAGTTAAGCAGATCACTATAGTCATTAAATAAATCAAGCCATTGCAGGGAAGCTGCAATGATTGTACGTGGGAGGACCAGTCATAAATCACTTTTTAGCATTGTCGTATTTTCAGATGGTCATTAAATTAATAGTCATAAATATAGGACTACCTCTGTATGCTTCTCAATAATGCCCAGGAATCGTTCTTGGTAAGCCACTGCATACAAAGCTCACCAATTTTTTCTTCTTCTTGGTACGTAGTGCCTAAGAAATCGTCTCATATGTATCAGCTAAGCATAAGAGCAAGTCTGGTTAGTTCTTGAATGGAGGGCTTTCAGAAAATTACAGGACTATATGCTAGACTGACAAGCTGAAAAACTATCCTGGAAAAGGGCAAGAGCAAACTATTCCTATCCCGCAGTCAGGAAAACAATCTATTATACATACTCTACAAGTAGTCCTCAACTTACAATGGTTCTTTTTGTGACAGTTCGAAGTTACAACAGCATCGAAAAAAGTGACTTATAACCATTTTTTCACACTTATGACCACTGCAGCCTTCCAATGGTCAAAAATTCAAATGATTGGTAACTGACCCATATTTTTGACTGTTGCAGTGTCCCAGAGTGATCCTCTTTTGCGACCTCCTGACAAGCAAAGTCAATCGGGAAGCCAGATTCATTTAACAACCCGAGTTACTCGCTTAACAACTACAGTGATTCACTTAAGAACTGGTGGCAACAAGGGTGGTAAAACGGGGCAAAATTCATTTAACCACAGTCTCGCTTAGCAACAGAAATGTTAGACTCAATTCTGGTTGTAAGCCTAGCACTACTGTACATTACGTGTCCACGAAATTATCAGGAGCTGAGCTCTACCAGAAGGAGATTTTCCTGTTTTAAAAAAAATCTATTTAATTGTTTGGGTTTTTAAAATCTAAATAATGCCAATACATGATTCAAATAGTTACATTGTAAGAATTCATTATTTTTTCATTTAGAACCCTATTAAAAAGTTTTGCCATAAAGTCTTTAGAAATTAATAAAATGCTTTTCCTCATTCTTCGCACTTACCTAGAACGGTATATAGATTTAGCACCAAAAACGAGTAGAAAAAGAAATCTGTTTTGCTGAGGACATGAAGAGAAAAAGAGGCTCGTACTGCCACCCCTGGAGGTTCTGAAACAGGAACATAATCTCAGGTCAAAATTATTGCTCGCTACTGCTGAAAACATACCAGGTCACATTTTTAGAAAGTGATACATCATCAACAGCTACTGAGAAGCTGGATTAGAACCAGTCTTCCACTTGTTCTAGAGAAGGCACAGTATTGGACTAGAACTGGAGACAACCTGGTTCAAGTCCACTCTTAGCCATAAAATTTATTCAAGTGATTTTTGGAGCAATCACTCTCAATTCAGTTAACCTGACAGGTTATTGTTGTGCGGAAAAATTAGAGGAGTGCAGCATACATTGCTTTGAACTCCTACAGGAAAGGTATAGAGACATCTAACAAACTATAATAATAAAATAAAATGTCCTAATTATATTTGTCCAAATCAATTCAAGATGTACAATACAACCCACCCAACCACCCCTTAGGTTTTTAAATATGTATATGTGACTATCAAAAACCTATCACAAATAAAAATAAGAGAAATTCTAATGTTTAAAAATGAACTTCTATTCTGATACTGGAATCTATTAGCTACTTTATGTGATTAAAAGCTAGCCCAACTCAAATTTTTAGAATATTTCTAAAAATATTCTTGTTAGAAAATGTGACTGTATGAGAGAATATTGTTGCTATGAAATAATCACAACTGACCTGCTGATGTTTGTCCCACCATCATGTTGCCCAAATTTTGCAGAAGCAAAATACTGGAAGTACAAAGGAGGCTAGCTGAGTACAGCTTATAATCAATATCTATCTTTCATATTTGGGGCAATGTGGGGACTGACATAGGCATGGGACAATTTAAAAAAAAAACAGTTTCATTTCAACTGTGTACACTGTACACCAATGTTACTGCCAACATCCGAAGCAGAACATCCAGATTCAGTCACAGTTTTGTTCCATACAGTATTAACCTTGTGAACTCTAAAACTTCCTCTTTCCACTATGTATTCAAGATGATTAATATTTATACGTTATTTATATGTAAGGATGTAGGTTTATACATATGTTGTATATAGCACGTTCAAATGTGTGTTATGTTTGTGTACATAACATAATTGAGGGCAAGCAACAAAATTTCATTTTTAATGTGTATCAATGTGCCCACAGTAAAAAATGACAATAAAGGTAATCTAATAACTGATATTATAATCGGCTCTAGGCAAATTAAAAGATCCTCAATGATAGCTAAGACCACATGAGAGTTTCAAATAGAAATTCACTTGAAATGTTGTTTAAAGCATTCCATTCATATATAAAAACATAGTAGGATAAGTACACTGGGCATGGCTTCCAGAATTCTTTATCAGCAGTGGCCAAATTCAGAAGGGTCTATTTTTTTTCTATGTAACAAAGTAGTATGTTCTGCTCTCTGCCAGGACTTCTTCTATGTGTGTGTGCATGTTGCCCTGTGTGTAGGGCAGGCTGCATACTCTCCACTCTGAGACAAATGACCAGGGGAGCTGGGGGGGGGGGCAGACAAGACTTAAACTGCAATAATCTCAGTCACTGCCCAACTATCTCTCTGAGTAGGAGGCACTGTGAATTTTTTTCTGTAATATTTTTTTCTGCAGCCGCCAATTGAATTTGGCCTGTTATTGAGCTAAATCTTTCTTTTGTTGGTTTTCCCAATGATAGCAACTTTATGTTCAGTCTTCAGAGACTTATTCTGGACAATAAGGAGAGAACTGAGACCCTTTCCCATAATTTCTTTTCAACATTCCATTAGTTCTGAAAGAAGAAAAATTAAATGGGGAGGGGATGAAAGGAAAAAGTATCAGCATAATTGTTCTTACCTTTAAATTTAGGTTTTTCTCGAAACCGGAAAATAATCAGCAAAACAACTTGAAATATAACTATTAACACAAAGATTGTGCGTACCTGAAAAAAAAAGTCAAAAGCAGTATGATATATTTTGAAAATGAAAAATAAAAAGGTCAGCTACTATTAACTAACTTTCTCAATTATTAAGAAATATGTGAACAGAAGCTACTTCTCTCCTGTACCACAAAGAATTTCCTAGAGACAATAAAAAAGTTAGGAAGGAAACAAAAAGACCAGAATACAACCTCTCCAGCTGCCAACACCCAGATACTATAAACAGAAAACAATACCCTAATCAAGAAACTACCAAGAAAACCACTGCCAAAAATGGCAGGGCAGACCACTGAATCTAAACCGAGAGCAAACCCCATACTCACTTGCATCGATGGTGTTACCTAGCTGGGTAATGAAATCTCTGCAAGCAAACAACGAAACTCAGAGACCATTGATGATCCCATAGAAGGCAGGCTTTTGATAACCTGTTGCAGAGCAACGCAGGGCTTTACAAGTCACAACCAACACCTTGGGTTGCATACAGAAGCCAATCAGCAGCTAGTGCAGCTCCAAAAGTAACAGGATCACCCAAATATACAGGGATACAACCACCACAACACAAGCCACCATATTTTCTACGAGCCGTAATAATCATCCATCCATCCATC